TAGGTGGGTGAGGCTGGTTGTAGGGCTAGAGCTGGCTGGCTGGTGGGTTGGACTAGGCAACAGGTGGTCCAAGGGCTATTGCCTTTTTGCTAGTTGGACATTGCAGTCTCTGGCTGCAAGGCCCTGGGGGTTCTAATGGGAGAACCTGCATGCTGGTGTGTGGTGCCAGGTCCTGGATTCTCTCAAGTACAGGGCAGTGTCCCAGGGCAGTTGTGGCTTCAGGGGATCTTATACAGCCTGCCCGCTGCTGACTGGGCAAGGTCCTGGTGCTCATAAGCTAGAGGGAGGATTCCCGAATGTTGCTGGGCAGCATCAGCATTCATATCATAGAGTAGGCTCCCAAATATGGCTGCTTACAGTGCCTCTGTCCCCAAGGAGAGCTCCAGCTGCCTCCTGACTCTCTGGGATACTCTCCAAGGTGAGTAGGTGAACCTAATCTAAGCTCCTTTCAATTCACTGATTCTGCCTTGATTCCCTGAGCATGTGAAATTTTGTGTGTGCCCTTTAAGAGTGGAATCTCTATTTCCCACAACCCTTATATCTTTAGTTGCAGAAGATATTTTCTACTAGATTCTTGTCTTTTTCATCAATAATTACACTGTAAATAGTTGCAATTTTGGTGTGTCCATGAAAGAAGGTGAGCTCACAGTCTTCCATCTTAGCCAAGCACTCTCACATTTTGGTCTTAAATTTAGAAAGATATTTTTACTAGGCATACAATTGTGAGTTAATAGTTTCTCATCCCTGTTTTTAAAGCCAGCATCCCACTGTCTTCTGGCTGGCATAATTTCATTTGACAAGTTTCAGACTCTCTTCTTTTAGTAATTTTAAAAAAAATTCTAAATGACTTCAACATATTCTCATTTTTGTTTTAGCAGTTTGAGTTTGATGTATCTAAGTGTGTGTGTGAGAGAGAGAGGGGAGGGGGCAGGGAGGAGGGAGAGGGAGGTGGAGAGGGAGGTGGAGAGAGAGAGAGAGACTGATTGACATATCCTGACATTTTGCTGTGAGTTCTCCAGTTTTCTTGGGTATGTTGTTTGTTTCTTTACAACTGGAAAGTTATCTGACATTATTCCCAGGTTGTTCGGTGGTAAAGAATCCATCTGCCAATGCAGGAGACACAGGAGACTTGGGTTTGATCCCTGGGTCAGGAAGATCACTTGGAGGAGGAAATGGCAACCCACTTCAGTATTCCTTGATGACTCAGCTAGTAAAGAATCTGCCTGTACATCAGCCCAGGTTGGATGCATGAGACAAGTGCTCAGGGCTGGTGCACTGGGAAGACCCAGAGGGATGGGATGGAGAGGGAGGTGGGAGGTGGGATCGGGATGGGGAACACATATAAATCTATGGCTGATTCATGTCAATGTATGGCAAAAACCACTACAATATCGTAAAGTAATTAGCCTCCAACTAATAAAAATAAATGGAAAAAAAAAAGAAGAAGAATCTGCCTGCAATGTGGGAGACCTGGGTTCGATTCCTGGGTTAGGAAGATCCCCTGGAGAAGGGAACGGCTACCCACTCCAGTATTGTGGCCTGGAGAATTTCACGGATTGTGTAGTCCATGGGGTTGAAAAGAGTTGGATATGACTGAGTGACTTTCACTTCACTTCACTTCAGTATTCATGCCTGAAAAATCCCATGGACAGAGGAGCCTGGTGGGCTACAGTCCATAGGGATCTCAAAGAGTCAGACATGCCTGAGTGACTGAGCACATGACCTCAAATATTTATTTCCCTCATTCTGTTCTGTTATTCTGAACTCCTATTGCACATATTTTTGAATGCTTGATATTGTCTCACTGCTTTAAAATAACCTGCTTTTTTTTCTCACACAGTTTCCTCTTTGCACTCAATTTGAATAATTCCTGTTGACCATTCTTCAGTTTTACTGATTTTTTCCTAAACTCTGTCCACTAAGCTAATAAGCTCATTAAAAAAATTCTTTATTTCTGTTATTGTGTTTTCTAGTTCTAACATTCTATTATACTCTCAAAAAACTTTCTTTCTGTTAAAGTTTACCAACTGGTCCTGCATGTTTGTTAAAAAAATTAGATATTTTAACATTGGCATCATAATTATTTTATAGTCCATGTATGATAATCCCAAGATGTGTGTCACTTCTGGGTCTGGCTCAAAGTTTTATGTTGTTATTAATGGGTTGTTTCTTCTTGCTTTTTTGTGTGTCTTGTAATTTCTTTTTTTGTGTGTGTGTCTTGTAATTTCTGAATGCATGTTTACTATTAAGTATAGCCAAATAGTAGAAGTTGAGGTAAACATTATTTCTACACAGAAATGGGCATTATTTTGGTGTGTAAGGCTGATAATTAATAGATCAGACCTACTGAGTTGGAAATTGCTTCAGTTTAGTTTTAATTGGTGTTATCAATAATTTCAGTACACCACAGTCTTTGAAATCTTTCAAATGTGGGCTACTATTACCTTGCATGTAGTGCAGTGGCTCATTGTTAAATTTTCACTGGTGTTAATCTGGAAAAATCTCCTGGTGGAGGGGAAGACAGTGGCAGATGTGATGTTGCAGGCATTAGAAAAATACAGTGGAAAAAAATGCCTACAAAGACCGTAGAGTTGACTGTTGCTAAGTTGTATTGATGCCCTGAAGAGGGTGATAAGAATCTAAGGGCTGTTAGATCACCAGCCCAGGTTGGGTGCATGAGACAAGTGCTCGGGCCTGGTGCACTGGGAAGACCCAGAGGGATCGGGTGGAGAGGGAGGTGGGAGGGGGGACCGGGATGGGGAATACATGTAAATCCATGGCTAATTCATCTCAATGTATGACAAAAACCACTGCAATGATGTAAAGTAATTAGCCTCCAACTAATAAAAATAAATGGAAAAAAAAAAGATTAAAAAAAAAAAAGAATCTAAGGGCTGTTAACGAGCAGTTAGTGGCAAAGTGTGGCAGCTAGAGGGCTCATCTATGTGTTGGTTAGTTAGAGGCCTTATCTCCTGTGGTGAGAACAGACAGTTGAGTGGCTTGTTGATCTACTTGTTAGCAGCAGAGAACTTCAGAGACATTTGAATGCTTAGTTCTGGCATGTCCTTTATGAAGCTCAGGACCCTGATGGAGGAAACATAGATACTGAAAATGTGGAAAAGACATATCTGGGCAGATGCTTTTGAGGATTTTAACTTTTCAGCTTGCTATGAGCACTTTGGATTTGCAGAGGTGGCCACTATTCTCTACCAACGGCTAGCTGGAAGATGTTTAGGAGGTCTCCTATTTATAAGACATCAGATGTTCCCCTTAAGAGCTGTCCCTGACTCCTCTCGTAGGTGTCAGACTGATAACTAGGATTAAACCCAGAATAATCCAGCTGAGGAAATGCTGGACTTGGTAAAAGAGGAAAGAACCTATACACTAAGGAATGAAAAGAATTGGCTTGCTTGTACTGGCAGAAGTCAGAGAAGTGTTCCTGGGACTAGGATTTGATCAGGGTCCCAGAATGTAAGACTGGCTTGACTGAGCAAGAATTCATTGACTTGGGAACACATTTTCAGGATGTGGGATTTAACATCCTCCCAGGGACTCCACTTCAACACTGGGGTAGCTCTCAGTGCCTGAAAAAGGATGTCCAACACTCAGTGATGTGGAAATACCTGAGTTGTCTGGAAGATGGTGAAGGAAGGAGTAAAAAGCCCGAGGGAGGTGGCAATAATGAAATAGGTACATGACATATGACCTTAAGGCCTATTAGTTGGTTTGTTCCATTGGAAGGCCCACAGCACAGATCATTCACAAGGTCATGGGAAATGTACTGCTGAGAGGGCCGACAGCATCACTAAAAAGTGCAGTGACAGCTCTCCTTTACTGGGGATGATGGTGGGACAGAGAGTCATGGAGCTAGGCTTGTTAATATTCATGGGAATGATGTGGCTTGAAGAGGTAGAGGACAGTTAACTCTCAGAAGCAATGACCACATGATTGGCAGGGTCAGAGAGGCAGCCAAGGGACTCCAAATGCAGAAAGTTATAGAGAGTTAATAGACTTTAGCATCCCAAGGCCTCCCTAAGAAGCATCTGTAACATGCCCAACCTCCTCAGGTTCATCTAGAAATGCATCCTGTAAAGGTACGGTGGACTTTGCCAGACTCTAGCTACAATAGATTCAGATCATTGCCAACATAACCTAAGATATCTCTTCACCTAAATTTACTTTTAAATGGAGTCCAAATGATTTCTTGGTAATGGTTTTCATTTTCATCTTGGTGATCAGAAATGTCCTTATGAACAGACATGAGATTCCATATAGTACTTTACAGTAGGAATCATTTTCTGTAAGAGATGCCAGAAAGAGGCAGACTTTTTTTTTGAATTATTGGAGGGAGAAGAAAATTGCTTACAACCTGAGGACGTTTTATGAAGTAGATTTTTTGTATGTGTGTGGCATCATGAATAATATCTCCTGGGAAGTATCTAGGAATTTCTGACAAAACATATTTACAACTTTTTGATAGTGATTGATAAGACAAAGAACCCTTCATGGAAGGTAGATACAGTCATTCACCTGATCACTAGATTTATGACAAGTAAAGCAGTTTTTAATCAGACACTTCTGTTTTGTATGTACTCTGAAGATATTATTTTCCTTCTTTATTAAAAGATATCTATAGGAAATAAAATATCTGAGTTGGCCTTCTTTGAATACCTTTCTCTTGCTGACAGATGTAGAACTAAATTTTGATGTGTGTTTTCAGTCAGTTTATCTGAGAAACAGTTTTAACAAAAGGAGTTATCACAAGGTCAAATTATCAGTTGGCATAACTTTAATGAATCATTCAACATTTCCACTGATTCTGAGGTCACTAAAATGAATAAAGATGCGCTATTTTTCTGGCCACATTATTGAAGGCTTCTTTTACTTGTTTATTCCTTAGAGTGTAAATGAATGGGTTCAATAAAGGGGCAATTAATGTATTGAGCACAGTGACTCCCTTATTGAAGGCAACTCCTTCTTTTGCTGAGGGTTTTATGTACATGAAGATGCAGCTTCCATAAGAGAGGGTGATGACAACCATGTGGGAAGAACATGTGGAAAAGGCTTTCTTCCTTTTCTGAGCAGAAGGGATCCTTAGAATGGTCCGGATGATGTTTGTGTAGGAAAGAATCACCAGCACCAGGGTGACCACCAACGTCACAGCTGCTAAGATGAAGTCAACCAGCTCCAGGAGTCTTGTGTCTGAGCAAGATATTTCTATGAGGGGTCCATAGTCACAAAAATAATGATTCAGGACATTGGAGGCACAGAAATCCAGTTGACTGGTCAGGATGATTGGAGATAGGATGATGAGAAGTCCAGCCAGCCAAGAGCAGAGGACTAGCTGGATGCAGACTCTGCTGTTTATGATGGTCATGTAATGTAAGGGTTTGCATATGGCCACATAGCGGTCATAGGACATGGCAGCCAGAAGGTAAAACTCTGTGGCCCCAAAGAATATCACAAAGAAATACTGAGTGAAGCAGCCAGCAAAGCTGATGCTCTTGTTCCCAGTTGAGATACTGAACAGTAGCCTAGGAGTGAAAGTGGTTGTAAAGGCAATTTCTAAGAAGGAGAAGTTCCAGAGGAAGAAATACATGGGCGTGTGGAGGTGGGAGTCCAGTAGTGTGGGGGTGATGATCGTCAGGTGTCCTAAGATGCTGGTTATGTAGGCGAGGAGGAGAAGTATGAAGATGATACTTTGAAGCTCTGGGATGTCTGTTAGTCCCAGCAGAATGAATGCTGTCAAAGTTCGGTTTTTCATTGTTAATGATTCTGCCTGTGAAGCTGAGAAGAGAAATGAGGTATGAAAAGGGCAGCAGAGCTCAGGAATGTTGAGGGGAGGGTGTGGATTCCCCTTGAAATTTGTTCATGGAAAAGTCCTCTATCTAAGTTAACAGAATGTCTGTTGGTCTCAACTGGCCCTTCACAAAATATGTTTACCCAGGTTCCCATGTAGGCAGCTTTCTTTTTGAAGCCTTTTTCTTGAGGCAATGAAATAGTCACCTGGCACTCCAAAATGCATCTTTTGCATATAAAGATTTACCTCTTTATCCACTCTTTGCTTTTCCCCCTCTCTGTCTATGAAACCCTTCTCCAAGATCTTGTAGGGATGTTTCATCTTTCCTTCGTGTTGATGCTTTGATGATTTGCTTCATTGCTGTCTTCTTCAACATATCAGACACCTCCAGATCCATTTGCTCTGCAGGAGTGAATAGCTCTTTTTACATTCTGGCTTTTGTGCCTGGTGGCAGGTTTGGAGAAAGCTTTGAAATATTGAATTCTTTTTTGTATGAGACTTTTTCTTCTGGTTTTAACCGATAGAAGCGATTATAGGTAGCCAATAATTCTAGGAAAGCTTTCTTTAACTGCTTAAATATTCAGGGAGTAATGTTTACTGGACCAGGAGTCTTTCTTATGTTCTTTTAGTTTTCAGGACATAGATGTTACTGCTACAGAAAAGTAGGAAAGAGTCAGCCTGGTCCCTTACAGACTAATATGGATTCCTCCCAGAAAAAAACCTGCTAGGGTCAAGAATCATTTTAGGTATTTATCTTTGTTCTGATCTTCCGGTATCACAGGAACTAAGGATCTTCAAGGGTGCTTATCTAGATCAAGTTCATAGTGGAAGTCCCTGTTGCCCTTGGCCCACTGTGATCACTGGACTCTAATGTCAAGGCAGTGTCACCCTCTGAATGGGAGGCTCAGGCTTCTGTTCACTTTTTGCTCTTTGGAGAATTTTTCTACATTATCATTGAGAAATTTACATTTGTATTTTACAGAAATATAATCACAAGTCTGAATATATAATTTTTCGGAGAAGTTCATTGCATTATTGTAATATAGAAGAATTGTAAAAGATAAAAATTCCACCAATAGGTGAATAAGTAAATAAATTGTGATGTTTTGCATTTGGAATAAAATGGGAAAATTATCTGTATTGACTTTTGCATGTTTACAATATATTGCTAGTGAAGTAAACACAATCACAAGTTTATATTGTGATTTTTATCTGTGTAAGAAACTGGGAATTTATACATATATTTCCAAATGTCTGGAAGAATTTTAAATGGTCAATTATAGTTATTTCTGGAGTGCCATTGATCACAAAATGAGTCTTTCTCTTTTTCTTTATCCCCTTTATCCCCTTTATTCATAATCTAAATATAAAAAAATGAACCTGAATGAGAATTTTAATGGTAAAAAACAGTAGTAGAAATCACATTCAGTTGGATTTCATAATCTGTCACCATAAAGTGATAATATTGATGAACTAAGGACATACTTACTTTTTGACACTCAGAAAAGATGTTGAGGGATTTTACCTCTGGATGCTGTTACGAAGAGTCAAAATTGAGAAGTCAGATGTGGATAAGAAAGTAGGATAAAATGTAACATATATCCCACTTTTCTAGTACTACGCCATGCCCTGATTGCTCACAAAGCATATAGGTTTCCTGGGCAGGAGTTTGAAAAGAAATGGTTCCTAGCTCCCTTTGCCTTTAATCAATCACTTGTTACTACCTTTTCTATAAGTTGATCCCATTTAGCATTGGATCTGCAATTTCTGAAGTTGCTACCTTATTTAAACTATTTGAAGAATAGAGGAATATTTTGCTTCTCACAGTCTCTTTTTTTTCCTCCACTTGATCTGGACTTCTATACAATTTTTTATCAGTTTGAGTGATACACATTTTATTGAGTTTACTCAGCAGAGACATTGGGGAATAAATTTTTCTCTGGGGTCCCAGGTCAAGAAAACTTTAATTAGCCTTAATAAATAATGTTGGGAATTAACTTTTTACAGGTAACTAGGAAGATGTTCCAAAGAGACCCATGAGGACGCTGTGACAAAGGCATCAGTTACAGGAAAAAGTCTTGTGGGAACTGAAGCAATAATGATGATCATAATAAGAAAAATGCAACATTAGTTTATCAAGCATTTTACCTGAGCTGGGCAGAGTTTTATTAACTTCCATCCTTTTATCATTTTATGCTCACTACATTTGAGGCATTTGTTATTTTTAGGCTCTTGGCCCACCTAGTTAGTAGGAGTGTGACCTTCAGAAGGTTCTCTAGCCTCTCTGTGCCTCAGTTGCCTCATCTGTTAAATGGGGGTAAGAATAGTAATTGCAAGATAAATCTATCATAAGAACTAAATGTGTTGTTAGAAGTGGAGTGCTCAGAAGAGTGCTTGGAATACAGTAAATGGTAGACTACTTATCATTATTATTATTGTTATTATTTTGCCCATTTTGCAGATGAGGGAATAAAGAACATAAAAGTTGTGTAGTTTTCCCAACATCACATAGCAAGTACTCTGAATTATTGGCATCTGAGAGCTGGTTTGCCTAATTCTACAGCATGCCATGTGCCTCTTCAGGAGCATGAAGAATGCAAAAGTGGTGTTGGCTTCCTACTGTCAGTGGCATCACTGTTTCACCATGGGGGTCGGGGGTTTAACATTTATTTCAGAGGAAATTCTTTCTTTCCTGTGTTGGACCATTGTTCTCTGATTCTTGCTTTCTGATGAAAGGCAGGATGTTATATATGCATCTATCTTCTCCTCAATGGACTTGACCTACCTTCCCTGATATTCCCTCCCCATTTTCTTTCTTTAAATTTTTTTTTTAAAGTGGACAATTTTAAAAGTCTTTATTGAACTTTATGAAGTATTGCTTCTGTCTTATATTTTGACTTCTTGGCCGTGAGGCATGTAGGATCTTAGCTGTTCGCCAGGGATGAAATCTACTTTCCCTATGTTGGAAGGCAGAGTCTTAACCACTGGACCACAAGGGAAGTCTCCCCCACCTTCATTTTCTTTTTGATTCTGCATCTCTAGGTGGCTTCTATTCATATACTTGGAATCCACAGATCGTTTACATGGAAAACTCAATAGCGGACTGAGCTTCAAGGATCACAGAATCGTTGAGAGGGAGGTCCATGGTGTGGTTACACTTGACTCTAGTCAAGAGAGCAGATGGTACTGGAGTTTCCTCTTGAGTTTGGTGACAAGAATGGTTTCTATTTTCAGGACTGGTCTAAGGTAAATATATGAGATCATGAAGTTTGTCTTTAGTTCTCCGTAGTGAATGTGTGCTTACTCTTTAGCTGTAGGCAGAGTGACTTTAAAAATGAAAGCTGGAATTCTACCAAAAATTTAGAGAAGAGCTAACACCTATCTTACTCAAACTCTTCCAAAAAATTGCAGAAGAAGGTAAATTTCCAAACTCATTCTATGAGGCCACCATCACCCTAATTCCAAAACCAGACAAAGATGCCACAAAAAAAGAAAACTACAGGCCAATATCACTGATGAACATAGATGCAAAAATCCTTAACAAAATTCTAGCAAACAGAATCCAACAACATATTAAAAAAATCATACACCATGACCAAGTGGGCTTTATCCCAGGAATGCAAGGATTCTTTAATATCCGCAAATTAATCAATGTAATACACCACATTAACAAATTGAAAGATAAAAACCATATGATTATCTCAGTAGATGCAGAAAAAGCCTTTGACAAAATTCAACATCCATTTATGATTAAAACTCTCCAGAAAGCAGGAATAGAAGGAACATACTTCAACATAATAAAAGCTATATATGACAAACCCACAGCAAGCATCACCCTCAATGGTGAAAAATTGAAAGCATTTCCCCTGAAATCAGGAACAAGACAAGGGTGCCCACTCTCACCACTACTATTCAACATAGTTTTGGAAGTGTTGGCCACAGCAATCAGGGCAGAAAAAGAAATAAAAGGAATCCAGATAGGAAAAGAAGAAGTGAAACTCTCTCTGTTTGCAGATGACATGATCCTCTACATAGAAAACCCTAAAGACTCTACCAGAAAATTACTAGAGCTAATCAACAAATACAGTAAAGTTGCAGGATATAAAATTAACACACAGAACTCTCTTGCATTCCTATACACTAACAATGAGAAAACAGAAAGAGAAATTAAGGAAACAATACCATTCACCATTGCAACAAAAAGAATAAAATACTTAGGAGTATATCTACCTAAAGAAACAAAAGACCTATACATAGAAAACTATAAAACACTGATGAAAGAAATCAAAGAGGACACAAACAGATGGAGAAATATACCGTGTTCATGGATTGGAAGAATCAATATTGTCAAAATGGCTATACTACCCAAAGCAATCTATAGATTCAATGCAATCCCTATCAAACTACTAACGGTATTTTTCACAGAACTAGAACAAATAATTTCACAATTTGTATGGAAATACAAAAAACCTCGAATAGCCAAAGTAACCTTGAGAAAGAAGAATGGAACTGGAGGAATCAACCTGCCTGACTTCAGACTATACTACAAAGCCACAGTCATCAAGACAGTATGGTACTGGCACAAAGACAGAAATATAGATCAATGGAACAGAATAGAAAGCCCAGAGAAAAATCCACGAACCTATGGTCACCTTATCTTCGACAAAGGAGGCAAGGATATACAATGGAAAAAAGACAACCTCTTTAACAAGTGGTGCTGGGAAAACTGGTCAACCACCTGTAAAAGAATGAAACTAGAACACTTTCTAACACCATACACAAAAATAAATTCAAAATGGATTAAAGATCTAAATGTAAGACCAGAAACTATAAAACTCCTAGAGGAGAACATAGGCAAAACACTCTCCGACATAAATCACAGCAGGATCCTCTATGACCCACATCCCAGAATTTTAGATTAAAAGCAAAAATAAACAAATGGGACCTAATGAAACTTAAAAGCT